ATTTTGAAGGACTTTTAAGGTCCAATATTCTACAAGGAGATTCATGATACCTCTTCTGTGTAGGAGTGCTTGCTGTATGCAACCTGAGTATTTTTCCCAACTTGAGAACCGGTGAAGTTTATGGATGGAGACTTCACGATTCCCTGATGCGTGGCTGGATGGTGGCTGACAATGTCCACTTCACCGTGGGCTTTCCATCTCTGCCTTTATTATTCTTCTATGAGACATTGAGACCGGGTTTTTCTGTTTAGCTCTGGCTGTCCTGGAACTTGCTCTGTAGTGCAGGCTGGCCTGAAACTCAGAGATCCACCTGCCTCTGCCTCCTGAGTGCTGGGGTCACAGCAGAACACAGCATCCTACAGCTTTTGCATTTTAACTTAGAATTTTATAATTGGAAGAAAAATTATGTTTTAGCACTTTAAGTGGTATGCAGTGAGCAGGTTTCTTTGGGAACATCCCCTACCCCTCCAAGGGCATGAGACTGCTGAAGACCACTGTGAGCAGTCTGGAGAAGCTGAGGGAGGAAGAAAACATGAAGGCTGCATTCTTGTCAGTGGGCAGTGTGGACACAAAGGGAGGGCTTCATGAGAGGAAGTTAAACAAAAGTTCCGCGTTTTGTTTTTCTGAGTGCTGGGGGCACTTTATTAATTTATCTTTTATAGGACGAAGGAAAATATTAAAGTGAGAATAGACAGAGTTAGATAGTTAAAAAAAAAACCTTTCAGATCAGCCTGACTGTGAGGGGAAAGACAGACATACAGACAAAACAAGGAGTGAAAACTGGCAGAACTCGGGAAAGGCTTACATTCCTCTGAAAACAGAAGTGAGAGGTGCCAGGAACATAGTAGGCATCTGGCCAAGTAGAGTTCAGTGCAGTTGAGGTCTTGGTCAAGGCTCCGTCTCTGGTTACTTTGGCAGTGTAACCCTGTGTTAGTGACATTGTAGTAAGAACAATCATTTTATTAAAATAAAATATTTATTAAAAACCAGTAGCTAGGAGAAAAACATGGCACTACCATCCTTGGATATGAACATTTTAGAACTGCAGTGGCTGTGCTTCAGCAAGATTATCACCAAGTATGCGACCTTAGGTTTGCACAGAGTTTGTTTTGGGTCTGTGTAAAAAGCAAGAAGCTGAAGACATTCTCTTGCACTCTCTTGCAGTATATGCCATCCGGGAAGCTGCCACCAACAACCTCATGAAGTTAGTGCAGAAATTTGGTACAGAGTGGGCCCAGAATACCATCGTCCCTAAAGTGTTAGTAATGGCGAATGATCCTAATTACCTGCATAGAATGACTACTTTATTCTGCATTAATGTAAGTATTACATGGTACTATTCCTAAACTCAGGCATTAAGTCATTCTTGGTATATTTTTAAGTTCTGAATGAGCTATCTTCTGTTTGAGGTGCATTTCGTATACTGATCAATTTGGATAATTAGAATAGAGAAAATGTTGACTTAAAAATCTGGAGCTAGAGAGATGGCTTAGTGGACAGGAGTGCCCCTGTTCGCCTAGAGGACCTGAGTTTGGTCTCAAGCACCTCTGTCAGATAGCTCACAACTTTTGTAACTGCAGCTGCTGCTATTGGTGGATCTGACTCCTTTCATCTCCCACATCCTCCTCCTCCCCATGAATTCACACAGTGTGAGATAAAACTAAATATTTAAAACTTGCAGTATTTTAAATATTGCCATTTTATTGTATGTTTTGGCGTAGGTCTTTCATCTTTAGAGCCACCTAATGTTCCTTAGATGCTCAAGTAGGAAACATTTTTCTGTTGGTCAATTGCCTTCACTTTAAATATTAGTTTCTCTGGATTTCGGGCGTATTAAGAAAGTTTTAAATGTGCCATCTTGCTTGTTTTCCTAGGCACTGTCTGAAGCCTGTGGTCAGGAAATAACCACTAAGCAAATGCTGCCCATCGTGTTGAAAATGGCAGGAGACCAAGTGGCCAATGTCCGCTTCAATGTGGCCAAGTCACTACAGAAAATTGGACCAATTCTAGATACCAAGTAAGATTTTAGTGTTGCTCTTGGTTTGAAAGTGTCACCTCATGGAGGGGAGTAATAGCTAAAATAAGCGCAGGGGTTTCTTTTTTCTTTTCTTTTCTTTTTTTAACTTTACCTAGAATCTGGGCTTATTCAAAGAATTCAGCCCTCAGTTTTGAGACTGTCTAATTTGACGTTTACGTTTATGTTCTGGGTACGTATAGAACACTGCCCCAAAGCAAATTTCACCAAGAACTTCTTTAGAAATTATTTGATATACTTGTTGAAGCACGATTAATAAAAACTCAGAGACAGATATTGGGGTTCAACCTGAAGACCAGAAAAGCAAAGCAGCCAGCCATTGGCTTTTACCTCGACCTTAGTCCAAAATGGCGATCCTGCCTCCATGAATCTCAGAATGAAACTGTGACTGAGAGCTGTCCCCTCCCATCTTATATTCCTCTCTAGAGCTGGGATTAAGGGCATGCACCTAGATTCTGTGGCAACCTAGTGTGGTTACTGGGATTAAAGGTGTGTGTCATTTCTGTATGCTTTGTAAGGCTGGCTAGTGCGGCTGCTTTACTTTTCTGATCCTCAGGCAAGCTTTATTTATTAAAATACAAATGAAATGCCACTGAAACTTGTCATATTTGTCAATATTTAAAAGTATTTTCATTTTAATTTAAAAAATTAACATAGGTCCAAGCCCCAAATTCCATAGCAGACTGTATCAGCGGACTTCTCCGTACCCCCAGCCATCTCTTCACAGTTCCTTCTGAATTTCAGTGCCTTGCAGGGGGAAGTGAAACCAGTGCTGCAGAAGTTAGGTCAGGATGAAGACATGGATGTCAAGTATTTCGCCCAGGAAGCTATAAGTGGTATGCATTTTGTTTAGTGCTAGACGGGTTAGTGGAAGTTATCCCCTACTCTGTGAGCAGTGGGAAATGGCAGGTGATGGGCATGATGGGAGACAGAGGGTGGCAACACCTGCTATACTGGGCTTGTTTGGGTAGGGATTTCTCAGCTCTTGCTGGGCTTGGGAGAACACACTTGTAATCCCAGCTCTTGGGAGCCTGAGGCAGGAGGATGTCAGAGTAGAGGAGTTTGGGCTACATTTTGAGACCCTGTCTTAAATAGAAATGTCTTGGCCCACGGTTCCTAAGTGAGCAAGCCATTTTCTCAGTTCTGTGTGTAGGATGCTGATTCTTACTGGCAGGAGCAGTTTTGGATTGGACTCGATAAGTCTTTAACTTGCAGACAGCCTGACAGAGTGCAGGGCCACAGTGAGATCTCAGGCTCATGCTCTTGTCAGTGTTACATACTAAATGTTCACATAGCAACCGTTCATGAACTTTCTGTACCACTAACATGATTTTGTTTGGAATTTTCCAGTTCTTTCGTTGGCATAAAAGAGGAACAGGAGGGAAAAGCCTTTACTAAATTCTTATCACAGATCTCTAGTCAATGTGTTCTTACACTGGGTGGAGAAACATGGAAACCTTCAAGATCTCATCCAAGCAAATGGCAACAACTTAGAAGAAATCATATTTCAGTGACTTGATCCTTTCTAAACATGAACTGAGAATGATTTTCTTCTCTCTGTCGGGATAACTTCAAAGCCTTCTACTGACCAGGCACTGATACCCCTCACACAGTCCCCCCTTGAGTGTCTCCCTGTGCTTTTTCCTGCACCATTGAGGCTCCTGCCTCCTCCTTTTTGAGTTAGGCCCAAGCCACTTAAGATTCCAGACAGAGCCTGGATGGATTTGGACCCCGACAAAGTGGAGTGATTCTCTTATGTTTACACGTCTCTGTGCCTCTAGCATTCCAATGTTCAAAGTAGTAAATGGTTTAGAATAACTTATAATTGTCCTCTTGGGAGATGATACTGAGACTTGACTGTTGTGAAAGCCACTTTCTGGTTACAATGGTTCTCATCAGTGACTCACACGAAAGGAGATGTGAAGGTTAATGTATTGGTTCTTCTGGTTTTCATTTGCTCAGTTTTGGCTGTAATCATGTCATGCAGAAGCCTGAAGTGGATTTATCTTGCTGCTAATGTGTGATGTTGAAAAGTATCAATTTCAGTGGCTCAGCACTGTGACTGCCTTCAAAACTCATAAGGAACTTTAGTGCCTCCTACTACACTATGGTTCTACTGTTTCATTGTGAAGTTTTATGTTTCAAGTAAGCGTAGGAACCACTGGTCCCTGGTTCTTCTTCCAGCGGTGTTAGTTAGCATCCTGCTGTTGCTACACTGTGCAGTATCAAACTGAAGTTTTGCTGCTCAGTGTCAGTGATGCTGGAACATTTTTTTACTTTTGCGCTAAAAACTTCATTAATTTGTCCTGAAATTTAAGGTAGTAAGTAGGTAAAGCTGAAGGGTTTGCTGAAGCAAATTGTTTATGAAAGGCTACTTGACACTGCTTAGGACGCACCTGCTTATCAGTGGGCATGCTGATTGCCTGTCACCCTGTCCAGTTAGAACACACTCCTTTCGTGAGCAGCTCTGACAGGGTCCTACCTTTTCTGGCAACACTTCTGGATTATTTACGTGTCTCTCACCAAACACACTCCTTGTCTCCAGTGGACTCAGTCAATGGGGTTCGTCTGCAGCCTGGTTTTCTCAGTGTGCCTCACCATGTAGTTTGCTGTTTCCATTTTGGTTTCTGAATTGTTGATTTTACTTACAAATTTTTTTAGATATATTAAGTCCTGCTCTGTTTTGTGAAGGCCCAAAGATACCTACAAAACTTTGTATATTAAACATAAGTTACAGAAAACCAAGTTTGTGTAAATGCTTTTATCATACCTTAGAAAAACAGAACAGAAACTTTCTCTCAGAGATTGTGTGCCTGTATTTTAAACTGCTGGATTACTTTGTAGTAAGTTTCCATTTTATGTGTTCTAGGGTGAAGGTATGAATATTTTCCTAAGCAAAAAGATTCTCATTTTAGTGCCTTAAATTACTGTGCTGTAAACATTATAGTTTCTTTTTGGCATCACCTGCAGGCTATACTCCTTTTTATTGAGTTTTATGTTTGGAAGATTATTGCCTTGATTTTGGTTGGAAATGCCACATGCTACACTCACTTGGGAATAAACTTGGAAAGCATCCCTGTCTTGCTACCTCCAGCCTTGTGCATTTACCTTTCTGCCAAAGACTATTGAACGTTGCGGGGTGGCGGGGGGCAGTGAACCCTTGTCTTCTCAAATAAAGGTTATATAGCATGCAGGGTCTGTTTTTGGGTGGCTGTTACAGGCTTCACTATTCTTTCTGATGTACACAATGAACTTCTTGTGGTACCTGCATAGCAGCTGCTCCTCAGCTTCAGTCTGGCCGTTTTCTTCACATACTACTGTTTATACTTGATTTCTTCACAAGCTCCTTGATGCTGACTTGGTCTGTTTTGTGTTGTACTGCTGCCTAGACCAGTGTCTGGTATGTATTGTTGGTGCTATTAAAATCCTGTTCACTGAGTGATTTCTAAAGTCTGCCCTCTGATGTGTTGAACAGAGTCATCAGACTGTCTCACTCTATAATTGATAAAATTAGAGATTTTCTTTGCTCCTAGGAAATAATAGCCTTTGACCTAAGCCAGTCCCCAGCCCCAGGATTTTTCTCTCTCCCTGTAGCCTACATAGAACTATCTGTGTAGATCAGGCTGTCCCTGCTTCTGCTTCCTGAGTGCTGGGATGAAAGGCGTGCCACTCTGCCCGGCTTGAGGAATCATTCTTTTGGAATTGTCTGGTTGCTTTAAACATGTAAATTGTTGTTGTTTGCACCAGGGCAGTTAGAGCAGTTGAGCCTTTTCAGAAAGTGAAGCCTAACAAACACATGCATCCTAGGCCAGTTAAAATGGCTCCATTAATAGTGAAGTTTTTAGTGATTTTCTTCGACAGATTATTTAGGGTTTACCCATCATGAGCTTAAAATACTAGATCTTATGTGTGTAATGTGCTGCCAATGAGATAGGAGCCCAAAGATGGATTTTGTTTCATAAGGATAAGCAGCTTAATGTGTGATTTTGAATGAAGCTTTGTCAAAATAAAGGACAATCTTCTGTTCACGGAAATACCAAGTTTGACTGTGGTGATGTGGGTCTGGGGATGGGGGAGTATGTTTACTGGAGGACTTGTCCTTATTCAAGAGACAGCCTGACCGAGGTGTCTTGTTTAAGTGTCCAGGATGCTTGCGTAACACCCCTGAAGACCTGTGTGGCTTTCTGACACCACTGTGTCCCTGAGCCGAAAGCCTGGTGTTCCCTACAGAAGAGTCCCTGGATCCATCACACTGGGGATGTGGGGCAAGGCAGCCAGACAAGCCGTGTGCTCAGCCTCCCCGGCACTCCTCCCCCCAGGTGCTGTTCTTTGTCATTTACTGTCCACTTGGATGTCAGGTGCACAGGAGGCCCTACACCCCCCCAACACACACCGTGTCCCTGGTAAATCTGTGATGTGGCTGCCGTTCTTTCTCACTGCTTCCTCCCCCTTATAGCCTCTATCTTGCTTGTCCCTCCTATTCCTTCTCAAATATCCAGTCCTTTTCTGTACCTTGAATAGCCTTGCTGTTCCTCATTTGCCTCCATGGGCCTGCTGTTTCCAGGAAATGACATCATGTTCAGTTGAGATGGAAATCTTTTGGAGGATGAAGAGAGCTTAATTACTCACTGGGAAGAAAAGCCAAGTCATTTCTTTCTTCGGAGTTGTTGTCTTAAACTGCTATGATCAGTTCTGAAAGGAGTTAGATCTTTTGTTTATTCAGGGCCCTACAGGCTACCCATGACCAAGATGGTGGGGGAGACCCCAGTTAGATCCAGTGGGGTGACTCTTGAGCAAAAAGGCACCTTAAGTAAAGTCCTGGTGAGGGCTGGCTTTTTCTGCACAGCTGCCCAGAACTTGGTGTGCTGTTGGGCCATCATGGTGCCAGGGTAGCTGAGGGCATCCTGGCTGGGAAGCACAGGTGGGCTTGGGAGGAGACATGCCCTGGTCAGGGACAGTCACAGCGTTGCTGTCTGTATCTCTAGTGGTGGCACAAACGCTGAGGAAGCTAGATTTTCCTGTGAAGGACAGTGAAGAAGAGTCCAGCATCCCTGGGGGTGACAAGAATCTCTTCCTGAGACCCCGAGTGCCTGGAGAGGACACTGGGAAGGTAAGTGCCCCTGAAACTTGGGGCCAGAGCCCTGTCCTTTCTGGGCTGAGAGTAGCCAGCAGAGCTTACTGCTGCGATAGGGAATCCCAGCAAGGTGGGCAGAGAAGCAGTTCCTACCACACTGTCCTGGAGAGGCAACCTTTCCAGGGGTTGGGAGAGTATATTTTAAAGTATTGCTCTGTTTCATTGCCTCTGAAGTGGTGGTCTTGTCCAGAATCATTCCTGTGGTTTGAGTCTTTTGACTCTTCCTTAGTCTGAGAAGATACCCACACAACAAAAGGGTAGACTGGAAGAGCCTGTATACTTTCCACACAGGCTGGGAAGTTAGTGGTACAGTTCTACTTAGGTAGGGAGTCATTTCTATTCAAGACAAGAGTCCATGCTGTTTTACAAGCCCATTTTGTGTACAATTACATGGAGCAGGGATGCAGAGTTTCGATTCATCAGTCCCAGGGGTTCCAGCTGTGGCCAGTGGTAGAAGGGTAGTTATGCTTGGGCTACCTAGTGCTGACATTGGACTAGTTACAGTGACTACAAGAAGTTGGTGCTCTCCACACTCCAGTGGATTGTGTGGTTGCCACTGATAAAAAAAAATTGACTTTAAACCACCTGACTTCATTTTCTGTAAATGGAGGCCACGTTATCGATCTCCTGTTCTGAATAGTCGCTCTTCTGTGTCTGCGCACACTTGTCCTGTTTGAATTGCCCAGCTGTCTCTGGTTCAGTCAGCCCCAGGGGTGTTGTTGCATGCTGCATGATGGGAGAAATGTTGGCTGGCTGACTGCTGCTTACAAAGCCTCCACAGCCTGAGCCCTGGCAGATGCCTGAGGTGCCAGCCCTTCATGCCCTTTTGTCTACTTTACAGAACTTCATTGAGGGAAGAAGCCTGCCTGGGGTAGTAAGAACAGTGAATCCTTAGGGGCCTAAGCCACACACTTCTTAAGTTGTTTTCCAGCATACACAGGACCATTTGGCCCTGCCATTCAATTCATGGAGAATACCTGAGCTGAGTCCTGACCACTTGAAGCATCCCCCTGCCACAGCTGACTTGGTCCGTCTGAAGAAGGCTCTCCAGCTGAGAACAGCACTAGCCACCATTTCTTGAGCCTCCACTACTGTAATACCTCCACAAGCCTTTGAGCATATTATTCCCTTGCAGTACATGTTTACATAGACACATTTCAGGTGGTTGGGAATCTTCCTTAGAAGCCAGCTGTGCTAATTCTCTGAGGCTGCAGTTCATTTTACCCACAAAATTCCCCTTCTCTGTGACTCAGGGAACCTTCTTTGCTCTTGTTTCACTAAAGCAAATGCCCTTGGGGTGAAATGGAAAGGGACTTGCCTGTTGCCAGACAGTTTTTCATGTCAGGGCTCCACAGCCAAGTGAATGATCCAGGAAGTCATCCAGTTGCAAACCAGAAATCGTTCTTAACCCCTTTTTATGTTGCTTGGCCAGCTCACTGCACTGTCCTCATAGGGAGAGTATCTGGGTGTTGAGAACTCTGGGAACTGAGTTCAGAAGACTGGTCTCAAAGCCCTGAAGGAGTCATCTGATGTCTTAGGGCTGTGCCTCTTGCTTGGTTTAAGAGAGCAGCTCAGGGCTCCTCCTTGTGAAGGGTGGATGTTGCCTCAGTGCCATGGAGAGAGGCTCTTGAAGTTGCATGGTCTTCTGTGTGTTTGCTGACTCATGTTGCTCATGCAGGATCTGCCAGGGAACAGCTTGAGCCATTCTCACACTGTTACCTTCAGGTCGGCCTAGTCACTCCCTCCTGGGCGGAGGGTGCTCTGACCACAGCTGCTGGCGAGCTTGTCAGGCCCGGCGAGGGTTAACAGTGGATTTGTTTATTGAATCATGAAGTAGCTGTCACATGGTTTTAATCAAAACACCATTTCCCTGACAACAGTGATGTCAGTTTTGTCGTTGCAGGGAGGAGCAGCTGTGAGGGACATTGAGTCTCCTCACTGAGCCCAGGTTTGGAGACCAGATCAAGCGAAACATTCATAAATAAAGGGTGCAGACACTGGGTTGACAATCCACCCTCCTCTTCCTTTTCTCTCTGCCTGGACAGTCTGTTCTGTACAGACACTGACCAGACCCCGTCCCTGCTCCGAGTCTCAGCTAAGAGCTTACCTTCGCTGGCCCTGGCTCCCCCTACCCTTGGTTCTACTGGTGTTTTGCCCGTTTCTATCACCCAGTCTCTGGTTTGTGTCTTCGGGCATTTGTCTCTTCTGGGGTCTAAGCCAGGACTTGCTGGTGACCTAGGTAGGATGTTCTGGCTGGCCTGAGATGAGGCTGTTCTGCTAGGCAACTGGTTTATTCCTCAGATTGAGGGGCATAAGAGCTGCCCAGGAATTAAGGGCAACTATAAGGAGCCCAGCTGTGGGTGTCTGAAGGGCAGGAGTGTAAGAGCGTAACTTCTTAGTCAGAAGATTAGTCTTGAACTCAGAGAGAAGAGGCTCCATGAGGCCCAAGAGGACTACCCAAGGATGTTTGATCACCCCTAGAGCCCTTCAGCTAAGGGAGCTTGATCCCACAGGCCACTGATAGGTCAGAAGTATAGAAGTAAATGGATCGGTCACAGGCCAGCTGGAGCAGGCCCCTAGGGTCTGGTGTCCTGTGACTCCCTGAGGACTGAGGAGCTGTCTGTGCAGAGACTCCCCCAGGCCTTCTGGCTTTCTCCATCCATGAGTTTAATTAACTTCAAAGTTGGGGAAGAAAAGGCTGCCTAGATGGGATGTGTGTTACTGACCTTTGTTACTGTGACAAGACAACCCACATGAGGGTTTAGACTGGGTCCCAGCTTGAGGGGACAGTCCATGGTGGGTAAGTGTGTCACATGATGTCTGCAGTCTGATCAGATGACTGCTGATACTCTGCTGGCTTCCTTGTCTTTCCTTTTTATTCGGTCCAGGACACTAGGCTATGATAAAGATTGCCCACATTTAGGATGGTTCTTCCTTCCAGAGTTAAACATTTCTGCAAATGTCCTCACAGATAGACCCAGGGTGTCTCCTAGGTTGTTCCAAATCCAGTCAAGTTGACAATGAAGATGAACCACCAGATTCTTCTGGATGGGCTTACACTGTGGTACTCATGACTAGTGCTACCCAGAACTCATTACCAAAAGTTCAGAAATTCCAGGACTAGTTTGTCAGAACCTTTCAGTCGGTGAGGAGAGACTACACAGGCAACAGTATCACCATTTTTTCGCAGTGTTGTGCAGAGTGAGCATTGTAACAGGCTGTCAAGGGCAGTTGGTAGAACCATGTTTTCTTATTAGAGGGCAGTGTGGATCAGGCCACGCTCCTGTCACAGTTGGGGACAATGAGCCTTTACAGTGATCTGAAGGTTAGTGGCAGGCCTGGGGGTTAAAGACAGTCTGGAGTTTTTGCTGCCTTCTATGTTGTCTCTGCAGTAAGGGGTGGTACCACCCACCTGCAGTGCCTGCCTGTCTGGCTACCCTCTGGATGGGTCTGGGGAGCCAGTCTGTTTTCCTAAGCCTTGCTCTGTACTGGCCCTTCATCCTGGGGCTCTTCCAACTGCCTGCCTGTCCTCCGGCTCTCACTTTGATGACTAAACTTTTGGGTTTCTGTAGTGACCTAAGACAGTCACAGTGGGTCTCAGGCTAGACACAAGCAAGACTGTGAACTGGGTCCTGTGTATGGCATGCTTTGTGGAAAAACTTTGTCATCCTCTTAGTTCAGCTGAGCTTGGTGGGCAGTCTTGGGGTCAGGGTTCTCAGTCAGGCCTTTTCTTGGGCAACTCAGGATTCATTATTCCATCTTTGGGGAATGAGGAGGAAAATGGAGTAAGACACCTCTCTGTGGAGGGAGTGACTCAGTGTATCAAGAGCTTCAACACCCAACTGCCTCATTTTCTGAAATATCTGTCCAGCCAGTGTTGGGGACTGGCTCCAGGGCAGTCTGCTTGTCTGCAAAGTTGTTGCTCCTCCACTGAAGTGTTTGCTTGTTTACTCCCTCATTGCCAACCAGTTCAGCAATCCTGAGGAAAGCCCAATAGATACATACGTATATGTAAAAGGAGGGGGCAATGTCCCCTGGCCCTGTGACTATAGATGGAGGGGAATTCAGCAAACTGATTCCTCAGACTCCTGCCTTGCCCCAGGTTCTGCCTCAGTGACTTGTGGTCTCAGGCTTTATGCCCAGATGGTGGCGGGTATGTTACTGATGACAACTCCATGTTTGAAGTGAAGGGCCATCTACTCCGGTTCAAGACCCATACCTAGTTCCTCTTACTGGACATCACCTAAAGTAATCTATGTACAGAAATCCATTGCTCAAGAGCCTTAAATATCTGACTGGAGCCAAAGTGAAAGGATAGAGCTATGCTTAAATGAGCCCAAGGTGCAATAACTATGGTCTGTGTGACTTCCTATGTGTCCATGTAGCACTCAAGATTAAGTGCACAGTGCTTGCACAGGCAGCACATTTGATAAACACTGGAACAGTATAGGGAGATTAGCATGGCTCCTACATGCAAGTTCATGAAATGGTCCCTATGTTATGGGAGGGATGGGAGGAATGAACAAAGAACATACATATCCATAGATAGGTGTGACGACATCATAATTAAAGCTGGTATTTCAGACACTAAAAAAAGCTATATAATCATACCAAAATTGAAAAATGACTTTAGTGCCCAAAGCCCAGCCTTGCCCCTGAGAACTGTAGGCTGAATTGGCACTTCTTCTTTCCTGAATCCAGTGGGAGGTATGAGCAACCCTTAGACAGAAGTCATTGTCAGAATCTTTAACTCTAGAAGGTATAGAGTAAGGGGTTTTGCCATCGGCCCAGGGTGAACCTCTAGATACTGGATCCATAGTCCTCCTAGAGACTTGAATGTCTCTGTCGGTGAGGTTTCTGGGGAAGGGTCCAAAGATTTCTCCGTATATCAAAGGACTGAGTCCACAATTCAAGACACTGAGGAAAAGAGGAGGGCCGCTCCCAAGAATGAAGCTTGTTTGTTCGTACCTGGCCACAGGATGACTGGCAGTTTTGGAAATGTGATTACTGCTGGCCTGTTGTGTCCCTGAGTTGGTCAAGCAGAGGCCACAGGGTAGTGGCCTACCCTGGCCTGGTCATAGCCTATTCTTTGTGGCTCTTCATAGGGCTTTTGTGCTTGTCATAGAAGTGAAGGTGTCCTTAGACTTAGGGGAGGCCTGGGTGCTTGCCTATGACAACATTACAATGATGTAGTGATCCAATAGACAAGGGTCAAGTTCGCAAAACAGTCACTGAAAGTGAAAAAGAAAATTGAAACTTGTAATGGATTCTCTTCCCAAGGGGAAGAGCTGTTTGAAGGCAGGACAGCTGTGCACATGCTGTGAGGGTTCTGTGCTCTCAGCCCTATATACACCCTCATAGCCACCAGGCTTGCCTCAGTGTGAGCTGTTCCAGTTCTGTATAATACTGGCCCAAGGGGATGGCTTAAGCAAGGGAAACCAAATCTCAGCTGCGCTCACTGCCAGAGAACAGGATTTACTCCTACCCTTTTTCTTGGGGTCTGGCCGCATGAGTCTAGAACATATGAAAGCAGCTTGGCAAAGGAATTCTTCAAAACCCAGGGCAAAAGGTTGCATATTGTATCTTAAGAGATGTGTGTGTGTCCCTTTTACAGACCCAGAGAGGAGGTGACACTGTCATTAAGTAGCAGTGTTCTTTGCTGGCCCTCCTGGCAGTTTAGAGTACCTTACTTTCCAGGACTTGTTCTGGGGGAGCTGAACAAGAGCACGTTGTACTTGGCTTTGTTCCTCTTGCAGACTACCTGCAGCGATGGGCTTTGTCCTGAGACTAACATCAAGGAGCATTAACCAAGCCCAGTGGGGCCCTGTCTGTATGCAGGCTGTGGTTAGCAGTGTTTCCATCAGCGATCTGTAGTGGCTATCGTGTACTCAAGCAATTCGGGGCGAGGTATTATTTACCCTGCTGACGTCAATGAGAACATATTATCCACTGTCCTTTCTGTAGTGTGAAATGAGCACCGGAGCTCAGAGAACACAGCCACCTTCCACAGTTTGAAAACTACCCAGTATTCAGTGAGGTGAGATCTGCCTGTAATCTCATTAGCCTGACATTCACATCACCAGGCTTTTAGAAAACAAGGTGTTTTTATTTTAATTCAGGAGGGTTGGAAACATAAAGACAGTACATTTTCTTTGCAGAAAATTACTCCATTTAAATTACCATTTGGTACAAAGATCATTTATTAAACTGCATTTTAGGCAATTTTCTAACACTGAGTGGCAGGTTATACTTTGATTTTCCACATTGGAGCTATTAGAATTTGCACTCAAAATACCAAAGCTATCAAAGTCAACATTTTTTTCTTAGTAATTAAAAAGCACACAGAAAAAAAAATGACTACAATCAGATTAAGTTTATCAAAAGTAACTTAACTACCAAGCTGAATCCAGCAAGACCACTCCCTTCCTTTCTACAAAGTGCAAATAATCTCCACCACTCTTAACTTCTTAAACTGCAGTCCCCAGAGGCAAGCCAACCTCCCCTTTCCCTGCTGCTTTCTCCTTCACAGATTCTGGTAGAGGCAGATTTTTTGTTGTTGTTGTTTTTTAAACCATGGGTAGTGGGGATGTTCAACCATGTGAATTTCCTTGACTGAGAAAATCCTGGGTGGGCAGGCATCAGTTTTATCTGCACTTGGTACTGTGACATTGCTGCACCCACCTGGATGTTGTCTGTGTCTCTATTATTAAAGCTACCCCTACTCACCCATTTTGGTTCTGAAAAGACCTAGCATTCTATCATCAAAGCCCATTACCATTCTGTAATTCTGAAAGTGTTTAATAAGCCTTCCTACTTGGTAGAACTTAATTGTAAAGAAATGTGCTGGGTGGGGGTGACACACACCTTTAATTTCAGCACTTGGAGGCTGATCTCTGTGAGTTCGAGGCCAGTCTGGTCTACATAGTAAGCCAGGACATTCTAGGATAGTCATAACTACATAGTGAGACCCCATTTCAAAAGATTATTAAAAAAAGAAAGAAAAAAAGGAAGGAAAGAAGGAAGGTAGGTTCTGTGTGCCATCCCTTTAGGATAAAGGTTGAGCTCACAATTTTCTGGGTAGCCATTTTCTCTGGGATCGACTCTGTTACTAAGGAAGCCCTTTGGCAGTCAGGGAGGAGTTTGTCTTTCCCATATATACTTAAAAGAAAAAGCACCGGCTTACATAACTTTGAATAAGCAAACAACCTCAATTTAAGCCTACACTTCTGCAATTTATTGGACAGCAAGATGGCCAATCTCTGGTGTCTGTCTCCCCCTCCTTGCCTAAGTGCAGTCACCTGGATAACTGCATTGGGCACTTAAAGCCAGGCAGCTGTCAAGTGGAGGGTGCAGCCGTCTGGACAGGGCTTTGTTTACATAGCTGTGTGCTATGAAATGATGTGCTACCAAAGGGGGGAGGGGCTGTAGGACAGGGCTCCAGCACAGAAGCCAGAAGCCAGGCAATGAAGGTGCTCGTCTCTGTACTGCCACTTGCTAAGTCATGTATCCTTTGAGAGCTTTGCTTCCCTCAGCTGTGATAAATTAGCTAGTTCTCTAGCTAATTCCACAGAACCGGAGTGAGGACTGTGAGGACTTGTGAAAGTGCTTGGTACATTGTTGTGAAAATGGACAGGCAAGGTGGGAGGGCTGGACCTGCAAGAACCATCCTTGGTTACACTGTTGGGCACTATCCCTACCTGATTGTCAACCCATGCAGTCACATACTCAAATCTGCTCACATATAATGTGGACGTAAGATGTGGTGCAACTAGGAAGGCTGGAAGTCTTCTAGAATCAACTGGGCAAACATGGCTACGTGTTCTACAGATAAGTGAGAGGCTGTTGGGAGAGTAGAGACTTTAGGACCAAAAGGACCCTTGAAGGGTCACTGTCTCATTCCATTTGCCATTGAGGGCAGGTGGAAAAGCCATGGAGGCTCACTTCTCTGGGACCCCAGCCATGGAAGACAGAGCTCTCTCTTCCCCTTCTCTCTCTCTCTCTCTCTCTCTCTCTCTCTCTCTCTCTCTCTCTCTGTGTCTTAAGTTTTGGAGTATGGTTTTGTCCAGTGTTGAAACAAACAGGTAGATGTTGCTGCTCTTGTCTCCCACAAATCAGTTTGAAGGTAAGTTGTGTAAAAAATTTCCAGAAGCAACAAAATGATATAAGATCCCTGCCTGGGCAATGACTCCAACTTACTACCTGTTCTCCAGTTTTTACCTTTGATGTCTAGGCACAGAGAGACCGAGCGGCTCGGATGGCTTCCGAGGAGGCAGTAGAGGCAGCCCAGCTTAGGGGTACAAACGCAGCAAAGGTCAGCCCCGGCACAGGGCCCACTGGGATCAGTGTCATCAAATGACACTATACATCGTTTCTAAAGGAGGAGGAATGTGAAAAAGTCACCTGGACTATGAATTTTCTTTAAACCAACAGAGAGCTTAACTCATTGCTGATGTATAAAAGTGTAATCCAGAGCAGCGAAAACTCTGCTCCTCATATACTTAAGAAGCAGGCTTGTTTAGAGAACCCCATAGAGGGAGGAGAGCCCACTGGGTCCCCATGTTCTGAGATGCTGGCATACACACTTGGGACCCTTGATCAGCTGGCCTAGAAACTGCTACTTTCTGGGTTCCTTCAGTTTCTGGCTTCTCACTTTGTCACTTTCCAGCTGAGAACACACCCTTTCCCCCAGTTCTAGTTTCCCTGCCTTAGGTATAATGGCTCCTGGGGTACAGGGTAGAGAGACCTGTGATAAGTCCTTGCTGAGTGTCCTCGTTATTAAGAGTTCTGGGGCAGGGCAGAGGGTGTCTCTCCACTGGTTGGGTTGTACTGGAAGAATGGGGTAGAGGCCCTGTAACAGTGCAGGAGTTAGGAGGGAGCATGGCAGGCAAAGGTTGAAGTCCTACCTCCCCGATACCAGGACAGGGTTTAAACACGTCTGATCTTGATTTCTGAGACAGAGGGACCCTGGCTTTCTTTTTCCGAGGATGCCAAGTAAAAGAAACGGCTTTGCTCAGATTAGCTCTCATACCTCCCCCATCAGTCCCAGAGGCTTTTCCTGGGTCCTCAGTATCTCCCAATGGGTAGATTCTGGAGGGCTGTGAACACAGAACTGTCCCTGTCTTTGTTCTAAAGGTGGCGGTTCAGACAGGCCGGGTCAGGGCACAGTGAAGGCTGGCACTGGTCAGGCAGCTCCCCGGGAATAGAGGAGAGGGACTTTACAACCTGTCATCTTGCTGTTGCATTGACACCCTCTATTTGCCTTACAGGGACCAGCATGCCAGTTGCATGTAAATACTAGAGACACACTTGCCCAACTGGAGACTGCAGAACTAATGCATTTCCCCCAAAGCAGAGAGTAATACCTGGATAACAAAAGACCATAAACAAAAATAAAAAAGTACCACACATATTGCACTTCTGCCAAATGAAAATTTTACCTCATGTTTGAATTACCAGTCTCTTTGGAGAGGTTGGTTTACAAGATAACAAAGCTAAGGGTTACTATACAGTAGTGTACACACTGCTGATGTGAATTGACAGGCGAGCATGTCAGTATTTCAAAGCTGCCTCTCAGCAAGAGTGGGCCTAAGCCTTCTTAGTGTTACTTTAGTACTTGTGAGGAGAAATGGCTTAGAAGCTTCCATGGTCACTAGTTAGGGGACAACAACAGAAGCAATCAGATGAGTGACCATCAGAGCCCATCTGCTCTCACCAGCTTCCATCTCAGGAAATAAAGGTAGCCATAGAGTTAGGGACTTCTACTGGAAAGGAGTGAGAGGAGCACACGGGAGCTTACGAGAGATCCAGCAGGAGGGTTCGTGTTCTTCGCCAGGCGTCTGTCCTCACCTCCACTCTGTGTGTCAGTGCCTAACAGGCTGGCTGTTGATGGGTGCTCCCGGCTTCTCTCTGCAGCCTTTAACCTTCTGACAGCCTCTCCGCAGCCCCTCATCTGTCGCCTAACTGTCCTGCCATAGCTGCTAAGTCTCGGGCTAAGCAGCTCACAGCCCTGTTGGGGGGCAGGGGTTTATGCCAATCTGTAGCGGTGCTGTTCCTGCAGTCCTGAAATGAGCGGCCCCCATTTTCAATCTGGAAGGCATTTTCATTTCGTCAATATTACAGCGCTTCTGCAGTATATTTTGGGAAAACATCCTCCTCCAGTCTAAACAAATCAAGCCCCGTTTTATAGCTGGCTTATTCTGCAAAGCTTTAAAACGTATTAGAGATCTTAATGAAATGATCTCTCCAATGAAATGATGTTCTTTATCTCACAAAATCATCAATCTTAAGCATGAGGAGGAACAGAATCAATAAAAGAAACACAATTTATCCTTACTGGATTTTCAGTTATTAAATCACAAAAATGACAGTCCCTCCTGCTAACCATTCCTGCTGATACCCACAGCCCAATTCCAAGCAGAGCGCATTTGCAAAGCAGCCTGGCACCAGTGGGGGCCCAACAACTACAGTCTCTGGCCAGCCTCAAAGATGCTTGAATCACCACCACTGGCAGGGGTTGGGCTGGTGACCAACCAGGATGGCTCTCCGTAGACTTCCCATGCCTAGTCTTCCCTTGCCTGCCTGGACACTTACTACAGAGAGGAAAGGCAACTTATAGGTGTTTCTAGATGCAGCATCAGTGTAGTAGCTCTCTTCTTGTGCTTTAAGGAAGACGTTTTGTGCTTAGTGCATTCATCTGCTGATAGGACAAGCCACTCTAAAGAATAGAAATTATAATTTTTATAAATAATACTGAGTTTGTAACACCTGGATGTCAACTGTGCAAATGACATTACTAATTACTTCTTGCTATCTAGTTGACTAGCGATAGCATCTATTTTTCAGTTCTTTTGATGAGTGAATTAAAAAGTTAAGCTTTTCTAGTAAATGGCTAACACATCTGTGGTTCTTTGAATATTACTATAATACTTGAACATTTCACACAAATCAAAACCTTAAGGAAATTAAGACTTTTGATTCCCACATGGTGGAAAGCAAACTGAAGTGACTTTGGATTAACCAAGGACATGAATGGAAAACTTGGTTTCTATAGAAAAAAAAAGTCTGATGAGGCTGGGGAAGGCACAGCACTGTTGCTTCACATGGGACATAAAAGTTCCTTTTATGTGTGTCCTTAAAAGACATCTAAACTACATGAAACTGTCCAACTATGCAAAGCTCCATAAGCTCCTAACAACACAGAGCGGAGAGCCAAAGGGGTTACTACAGGGTAGCAGACAGGAGGTCTCCGGAGACAGGAGGTTGTGCAGGAAGAGCCTGGCTTCACAGCTCAGGGCCCAAGTTCCTGATGCTTTCAGTCTCTACTGTGACAGTCTCCTGTTGTCTCTACAGGTGAGAGCTTTGGAGTCCTGAGCATTTTAACACTTGGCCACCCAGGGGCACTTTTTAAAAAGGCATTATCACGTGCTCCCAGAGAGATGACTGCAGCTTTCAGGGGATCAGTGTCAGCTTAGTGTCCCTGAAACACCTCAGGCTCCACTACTCTGCGGTGTCTTTGAGGACATCTTACATCGATAGCCAAGAACTTAGGATTTTACAACAATGCACAACTCTCTTTTATTCCCTGTGCATCAGATTTCATGATGCACTCTTGGCATGCCTTGAAGTACTTTGCTGTTGCTTGGCTTTAGTGAAATATACTGCCTTTTCCTTTACCCTATGTGTGTATACGCAACATACACATATTTACTGCTTTTACTAAGGCTTTCCTTGGAAATGAATTGGTATAAAACCTAGGTCTGTATGTTGTCATTTTATACAAACATTTCTTGGTACCCTCCTGAAAGTGTGTTCCACTTTATCGAAGGGCATGTGCTTCAGCCTCCAACTATGTTCTAGCCCTTGCCACAGAAAATTTTGTGGTGGGACAGAGCCAGGAGGAACATCTACCCTAGTCAAAAGCCTGATTCCAGTTGGGAAACTTGATTTTTTTCCTACTAGGGAAAAGGGGAAAAAAATAAGCTTTAAAGGGCTGAAATAAAAATATAAACAGCCTGCCTTCACTAGAGCCACCTTCCTTTCTGTGCTGAGATTAATTCACCAGGACATACCCATTGTGTTGTGGATCCACAGCTTCTAGCATTTCACAATCAAAGAGTCCAGGGAGCTCAGAGAGGGCCAGCGGGTCATAGCTAGATGGGGTCTCCTGAAGTCCTGAGTTCCTGGGACAGTCCGCACCTGTGAGGTTGCTCTGCTGGGCTCCATCCACAGGATAGTGACAGGGAGCAGGGTAATCTGGTGCAGAGGAGGTGGTGCTTGGCAGCTCACAAGTCTGATAGGAGAACTGTAAGGGGGCTGGAGCAGTTCCTGGCTGCTGAGGTGGAGGAGGAGGAGGTGGTGGGGGTGGCTGCTGCAATTGTGAGGGTAAAGGATGTGGAGCCCGGGGGCTGGGTGTGGAGGGCAGGGGCTGCAACTGCATGTCTGGGTATTGGCTGAGGAAAGGGCTAAATTGCATCTGCTCAGAAGAGGGCTCGAGGACTGAGCTCAGGGGTTGGGTCAGGCTGAATGGTGGGGGCTGCTGGGATGGCGGTGAAGTCTCCTGATGGGGAAGAGCCAGCTGCTGATTTGGTCGAGGGTAGGAGCTCTCGGCTATCTGCATCTGATTAAAATACGCTTGTAGCTGAGACTGCTTCTGGAGGAAGAGTCGCTTCTGTTGGAGCCTAAATTGGCAATACCAAAAGAGCATTTTACATCTCAAGTGAATTTCAATGTAAATTCAATATCAGGCATTAACTTCTCTTTCCCTTTCTTTTCTGCTTTATTTCTGAGAATCTTCTATATAGTTCAGGCTGGCCTCAAATTTGTGATCTTCCTGACCTAGTCTCCCAGTGCTAGGAATTCCAGGCATGCACCAGCACATGTGACACCCTCATTTGTTATCTCTTTTCCATTCAGAGTAAGAATTCACCACTGTGCATTTTCTCTCGTTTCTTGCTCTAGAGAGGCTAATTACTCAGGAAGATTGCTCAGAAGAAGGTAACATCTTGGCTTCTGTGAGTAGGTAGGGTGATGATTAGGGCAATTTTATCTTGGCCAAGCAGCTTCTACTGGTGGGGCCAGCAGGCACGAACACCACCAAGGGGAAAGTCTCATCAGTGTAACCAACTGCTTTAGGCCACTGCTTCTGAAATCTTAGGACTGATCATATCCCAGATAAATACAAATGGCAAAGTGCATAGGGGGTCACCGTCGTCCAACTCTAGGATTCTCAACAGCCTCATTAACACCATGTCTGAACAGAAAATGACCACGTGCCAGTGCATGGTCCTAGGAGAAGCAACTAGAAGGAAGAGGACAATATACCATTCTCCAGGATGCTGTGAAAATAACTGACTTTACTGGCCAGAGACTTCCTTACCTATGTTCCTGTAGCTGCTGTTCCAGGCTCCGAGGTGGTTCTTTACAATATATTGGACAAGTATTCTGGGTCTTTGGCAGAAGACTGGGCTTCTGGAAGATCAGAAAAACAAGAGCCTAACCATATGCTGTCAGTTGAATGCAGCTCGTGTGTATCCTTTGGATGCCTGTCTGGATGGTATATCCAAGATGTGGCTCCAGAATCCAGAGTGAAGGCACTGCACTGTGCACTAAGACCCTGGAAGAGCACCAGGTCAGCAGACCTTGGTGTCTAGTGCTAGCCTACTTGTTTTCTACTTCTGCAATTCCTCCAGGACAAGGAGGTTCATGGAGAACAATGAGAAACCTAGTGCCTGCAGAGTGATTCATTCTGAATGGGATCTATGTTGTACCATTTCTTAGGATCTTCATATACCAGTGTAGACAACCTTGTTAGCATTTTGTATATTAGAGATCCCATCTTATTATTCACAAATATAGAATTAGAAACAAGCCAGGTCTCTCTTTTCTAGTACTCAATGGTTCATCCTTTCCTATTGCCAGCACAGGATATAAAGCTAAGTCTGAACATGTTTCTAGAAACTACTCATGTAGTGTTAAACCTACCTGCCTATAAGGGATAAAGCAGCCACCTTAAATAACGCAAACCAGGTTTCTGTGACAAAGTGAGCTAAACCAAGAGCACGAAGGAGCCCACCTGGAGTCGATGCTGTAGGTACTGGGTTTCCAAGCTCTGCTGTGGAGAAAGTTGAGGATGCATGCTGGCAGAGAGTGTGGAGACACTTTCCTGCTGCTGAGAGACTTCGTCCTAAGGATCAAGGCAGTGGACATTTCAATTTCTATGTGAGAAAGTTTTAGTTCATAGTTTAAGCACCTTTACAAATGACTAGTGGAACCTGGGCTCCACATAACCTAATACTCCAATGCTTTTACCTGACTAGTAGTTTGAAGGCCACTTTCAGAGAATCTATACAAAGTTAACAACTATTATCTAGACAGTATTAGATTAGAACAAAAGCACCTGCCTGGTATCATAAGAAGGCGCTTATCTACACGTGAGCCCAGAATATGATACTATCTTTGATGCGCTGAACATTGGCTCAAAAATAGCAACATTTGTTATATTTTTAATGTGACTAATCTTCATATTTAATAGTGATTTCACATCAAAAGTAGTGGCAAGAAGCTTCTCAACTGGCTGATGTTCATCATCATCATCAGTGTGTGTGTGTGTGTGTGTGTGTGTGTGTGTGTGTGTGTGTGTGTGTGTGGTGAAGAGAGGCTGAGTCGTCCATATATAATCTGCCTGCTTTGTGAACCACATTGAGTCTGTAGGCCTCTGTCTGGTGCTGAGCATCTGGGAGCAGCATGAAAACCTCTGAGACCTTGGACTTTCCCATAAAGCCAGCTTAGTTAGGTCTAGGAGGACATTCTCTAACTGAAAAACCACACACCTGTAGGACAAGTGTGGTGCTCGGAAGAGCCTGGACACTCACCTGAGGGCAACTGCTCGAGAGGTCTTGGAGCTGAGGAGCAGCTGATGCTAAGTTAGGGTCTGCCTCTGATCCTATTTGTTCATAGAGCAACTGTACTTTGTTCAACTCCAGAATTCCTTTGGTTCTAGCAAGATTCTGAAGATGTTGTCTAAATGCTACAATTCCTGCAAAGTACAAAACAAACATCAAACAGTTTACAAAGCAAAATAGGCCTTTTAGTTATACACTCACACCAGCAAGGCAACAACCTTCTTCCATATCTCTGGTTCAAGTTTTTAAAGCCAGAAAAGAAAGCACTTACCTTGGGTAAGGGAAGTGTCTGATGCCCTGCGGCCTTCTCGGAAGCTCACGGGGGACCGATTGTGGACCTCACGTTTCTGAGAGCTCAGAGCCTGCATGGCTGGGTTGGTAGGTCTGAGGCTTATGAAAGGAGATGCCATGCGGGGTGAAGACTGGTTAGCTAACATGATGTCCTTCAGGGAAGGGCTGTCTTCCAGGAAGTTCAGGTCTCTTTGGGCAGACCCCATATCGTACTCAGAGTCCACACTGTCAAGGGAGGGATTGTCACTCATAGAGAAAATTTTCCCTGTAGAAAAAAGTAAAACAAATATTACCTAAACCGATAGAACTTCTATAAACACACTGACAAATAGAAAGACAAAACGGCAGACTTTAGTCTTGACAGCTGCAATCTTTCAGGATGGGCAAGACGACTGGAGTACTTACAAGTCTGGAAAACAGAAAACTCACCTAAAACAAAAATTCCTGTCAAGGCTAGGGATTCTAAGTGTAACTCAGGGGCAGAAGAGTTGCCTAACATGCTCAAGACCTGCAGTCAGACCAGCACCACAAACCATTCTCCATCTTTCCAGAATGCTTTTACTGGTTAGTTTAACAATCTTCAAATTTGGTGAGGAAAACCCTATGGAAACTATAGTCATAAGATCTTGGCCTTGAAGACAGCCATAAGTGCACTGTCAACTCAGAGACGTTGCCTTTTACTTTCTGAGTAGACCTGATCCAAAGTCCATGGCATCTGCACTGTAAAGGAAGAGGCTATGGATGAAATTCCAGAACTGGGTGAGCATGACCACTATTTCTTTCTTTCTTACTTTGTTTTTCCTTTCAAGAAAGGGTTTCTCTGTAGCTTTGGAGCCTGTCCTGGAACTCGCTCTTGTAGATAAGGCTGGCCTTGAACTCACAGAGATCCCCCTGCTTCTGCATCCTGAGTGCTGGGATTAAAAGCGTGTGCCACCACTGCCTGGCTGGCTGCTATTTCTTGATGCATGAAATATGAAATGATGCTGTAAGGGTTTAACTTGGTGGATACCATACCTGCCCCAGGCATGACAACCAATTGGTTTGTCACTTCTGATAGAGTGTGCCGTCGCTGCCCACTCCGTGTGGCCTGGAAAGCTTCAAAGGCCTGACTGGGGTCTTCCTCAGCCTCTCCTTCTGTCTCCAAGCCTTCATCAATGGAGGTCTCCATCATATTGCTGGGCAGTGACTGGCATCCCTTCCTCACCAGGACAGGGGGCACAGGGTCAAGCAGACAGCCATTCACCTGTCAGCGTGAGAGGAAACCCAGTTGCTGCTCTGCTGAGGAATACCCACAGCAGAAAAATAGGCAAAGACTTAATTAAGGCAAACGAGAAATAAAGTAAAATATTAAAGTGTATGTATTTACTTCCAATGGCAGCACAGACATGAGAAAAGAAGGCAAGTCAACTACAATCCTCAGAGACCCAGACTGGCACTGCCACCAGGTTACTCTGAGTCATCACTGTTACAATAACCACTTTTTCAGTGGCTTACAGATGAATAGAATGTGCTGGCTTAAGGCTTACCAGTTATTATTATTTTTTAAGTAAGGAAAACAGAAGAGGAAGATGAGCTTCTTTTCACTTCTAGAACAAATGTCTCATAGCTGAGAGAATAGTCACTGACATTCTAATTCTCAACCACAAAACATACTGATTCTGGGTATACTTTTATGTTCATAGCTTAAGTACTGATCTATTTGATATTTTGTTTTTAAATCGATTCAAATGTGCCTAAGGAATGGAAAGTAAGAATTTTTTTGTAGACAGATACCACAAAAAAAGACTGAAAAAATTCAAATGGCAAACAGCCAAAACCTTCCATTATAGAATAACAAATGACTCACGGCTCCTAATTCCAGCAGAGGTTAATAAGCCCCAGTGCACGGAATCCTCACCCACTAGCAGTTCACACACCATCTCCGGGTCTATCCCATAGGGAGAGCTCGGCACAGATCCTGAATGAGCACACTGCCTTCCCACAGTTGCCAAGCAAACCACCTAATGGCCAGCAAAACAGCATACAAAGGGGAGTTGTGGTTTCAAGTTCTGGCTGGTAAAAGCCCCAAAGAGCAGGCAATTATTTACCTCATTACTCTAACTATTCCCCTGTGGAAATCAATCCGCTTTCTCCTATGAATAGCTGCTCAGGAGCAGCCAGCAAGAGTCAGTTCTCTGTGGTACTTTCAATTGGAACCCACTGGGTAGAGCTTTTGTTTCCACTGAAGCAGAGGCAGCTCATATATGTGAGACGTGACGTGGAACTGTCCTATGCCAGGCACAAGAGGCTTTCCTCTTACGGCAGTTGCCGAAGGCATTGCAAGGTCCTTTTTATGGAGAGGGAGTAGGGTGACTCAGAGCTTTGTTTGCTTGGAGGAGCTGATTCCACAAGCATCTGAGGGGAGAGCTTTCATGCTGGTAAGGTAGCTGATGCTTTCTCCCCAGATCACACCAGTCTTCCCATGGTACAGAAAGCAGGAAATCTGAAATCTGGCCAGCAGCTGTCATTCTCTTCTTGGTCCAGGCCAGATACGTGTATCTTTTGTATTTTATGGTCTTCTTACAGGAAAGAATGACCAGCAACTCTTACTCTAGACTCCTTAGCAGTCCACTGTCAGCTTGCTAAGGCTCTCAAGACCTTTTACAGCAATTATCTACTGAGCACCCTTACATGTGCAACCTTTGTCAAATGCACTTCTCACCTCCCGTGATGTAAGCAAGCTCTTTCTTTCCCTCAGCATGGTTGTTAACTTTTCCTGACTTGGTCAAACAAGCCAGCTTCCTATGAATTTGTAAACTGTCACCATATAACCTTATTATCTCATCTAAACCAGAGAAGGAAATATGTCTGAATAAAGTCTCTTCCAGATATAAAACAATGCTTGGGTTTTTCACTGAAGACTTCATCTGGGGACAGATATGGGTGAGCATCTCTGGCCATGAGTAGGTTTCCTGAAGCAGCTGACCATCATGCTTAGCTAGAATTTTTATTATTGTGATAAAACATGACCAAAAGTATCTTGGGAGGAAAGGATTTATTTGGCTTATATATCCCAGGACATGGTCCACTGAGGGAAGCCAGAGCAGGAACCTGAAGGCAGGAACTCAAGCAGAAGCCACAGTGGAATGTTGCTTGCTGGCTTGCTCCCATGGCGTGCTAAGCCTACTTTTTTATAACATCCAAGATCACCAACCCAGGGGTGGGACTGCCTCCAGTGAGCTGGGCTCTCCTCCATCAATCATTAATAAGAAAATGTTCCAAAGGTCAATCTGGTGTGGGCATTTCTCAACTGAGGTTCCTTCTTACCAAATGACTTGACATTGTGTCAAGTTGACAAAAAACTAACCAGGACAGCAGCCATGCTAATTTACCCAGGGACTTGACTGTAAAATAACCCAGATAAGTTTTCCCCTTTAGTGTATTTCATATCTTCCTGCGAGCAAGAATGGTGCAGAACTCAAACTTCAAAGCGCCTCTCACCCATACACTAAGACAGTCTACAAGGATGTATGACTAAAATGCTGGGCTAATCTACATAAATGACATAAGCTGCTACAAATAAGAATTTATGCTCTAGAAATACTCTAGACAGATTAAATGAGAGGATTTCAAGATTTGGGCAAAATGTATAGTTTCTAACCCTTTCTTTTCCAGAGACTTCATTTGCAATAGATGATATACATACAGTAGTCAAAGCTCTCAGAGGCCCCAGCACTGACTCAGAGAGCCTTCAAACCTGCCTTTCTAAACTGGTATGTTGGCCTGAATTCCCAAGGTGACTATATTTGGAGATGGGGTCTGTAAGTGAGCAAAGCCCTGGCCCAATAGGATTAGTATCTCTATAAGAAAAGACACTTTGAGGGCTGGAGAGACAGATCAGCAGCTAAGGTGCATACTGTGACAATCCAAGTTTGCTTCCCGGCACTCAAGATGTTCACAACCACCTGTAACTCTAGCGCTAGGGAATTTGATACCTCTTGCCTCTGTGGGCACAAACACTCACGTGTATATACCCACAGACATATACCCACAATTCAAAATAAAACACATTTAAAAAAGTAAAATAAGAAAGGACACACAAGTGGTACATACCTATAATCCCAGCACTCAGGAGGCTAAGGCAGGAGGGTTAAGTGTCTGAGGCCAGCCTAGGCTTCACAGTGAGATCCTGTCTCGAAAAAAAAAAAAAAATGAAAAAGAAAAAAAACATCAGAGAGTTTGTTCTTAGTTACCCCTTGACACACAGGAAAGACTGTGTGATGTCTCAAGACAGAGTGAGAAGATGACTGTCTAAAGAACAGGAGGGAGACTTCTTTAGAAACAGAACCAGCTGGAACTAACTCTATTTTGCCCTCTGGCATTCAGAACTATGAGAAACAAATTTCTGTTGTTTAAGCTATGCAGCTTATGGTATTTCATGGGCAGGTGAGCAGGTCCATACAGTACACCAAGCATAATATAAGGCAGTAAGTTGGAAGAGAGAAATGGACCTTAATTCAATTGCATTCCATGTGCCTGGCAAATGGGGCACATGCTGAGCAGGTGCTAAGCTTCATCACTTGCAAGTCAGTTGCTTAGCTCTAGTCAAGCTCTTTTTTGATTTTTTTCATTTGTAAAATAGTTGTAAAGTTGTTGGGAGAATCAGCTAATATAATTCAGAAAAAAATACAGTTCCTTTACAGCTCAATACACTTTGTTGATTTTTTTAAAATAAAGGGGAGTACTTTTCAATAACAAAGCATAAGAATAACATTACAACACTTAAAAAAAAACACATTTTTTTCCCCTGACTTGAGTCAAATTAAACAGGTGAAGAAGAAAAGAAAGGAATTACAATGCTAGAAAATTCTTTTTAAAGCCAGTGTTTTGCTATGGAGCCCCAAGTGCCTCTGTACTTCTGTTCTTTTGCCCCATTCTACTCAGTCCTGGCTATATGTGTACTCACACTTGGCTAAGAAATGTATACTTAAGTAACAGGGCACAGTAGTTACAGACTTGGACATAAAATTAACTACCATCAACCTATTTAAGGATGCAAGATAAAGGAAAAACTGTGTTCAACAAGAGGCGTTTTGTTGTGGAATATCAGGTTAACATTTGTTTTTACTGTAGTTAATGAATTTATTAAATTTATGAATTTATTGGCTAATGAATAAAGAAGCTACTTGGGCCTACAGTAGGGCAGAATAGAGCTAGGTTGAAAACTAAACTAAATGCTGGGAGAAAGTAGGTGGAGTCAGAGAGATGCCATGTAGCCGTCAAAGGAGAATGATGCCCACGGGAACCTGATGGAAACTTGCCGGTAGACCACAACCTCATGGTGATGCACAGATGAATAGAAATGGGTTAATTTAAGATATGAGAGCTAGCTAACAATATGCCTAAGTGATGATTGGCCAAGCAGTGTTTTAATTAATACAATTTCCGTGTGATTACCTTGGGTCTGGGTGGCAGGGAACAAATGAGCAGCCTCCAACTACAGAATATTACTTTGACTGTGAAAGTGTGTTACATTTGTTTATGCTGCATTTGTTTAATTATGTAAATATGTGTTGCATTTGTTTCACCTTGCCTGCCAAAAGCATCTGATTGGCCTAATAAAAAGCTGATTGGCTAATAGCTAGGCAGAAAAGGGATAGGTGTGGCTGGTGTGCAGAAAGAATAAATAAGAGGAGAAATCTAGCCTTAAGTAGAAAAAGAGGGAAGAAGAGAAGAGAATGAGGGAGAAAGAGAGGAACACGCATAGGGTCAGAAGCCAAGCAGCTGCCAGTCAGACTTGAGAAGCAGGAAAATAAGCCATATAGAAAGAAAGAAAAAAAGATAAAAAGCCCCGAGACAAAATGTTGATGAAGAAAAACAGGGTAAGTTACAAGAACTAGCAAGAAATGAGCCTAAGCCAATGCTGAGCATTCATAACTAATAAGTTTCCATGTCATGATCAGGGAGTCGGTTGGTGGCACAAAAGAAAAAGCCTGCTAAAGCATTTAGTTAAAGAGATGCATAAAGCAACAGATTACATAATTCTTAAAGTTTATGTCTGCAAATACTACTTCATGACATGGAAAAATTCTCATAAGATACAGACATAGGATTACACACAACAGAGAATAATTTTAAGACTTTTCCCATCTACTGAGTCCTACATCTTACCCACTAATTTATAGTATGACATCAAATGGGTTATCTTTGAGTAGTGAGATTATAGCTACATTAATTTTATCTTTATTCTCTTCATATTATCATGCATGATTATGACTAGTTTTATTTGTTTTTATTTCAAATTGTAATTTGAAATTTTAAATTCAGAAGTGAAAGTGAAATTTCTCCCCTAAAGCCTCTAGGGGTTAACACTACTAAGATTCTGGTGTGGCTACTTTTCCACCCTTCTCTCGTATGTACCTCTTTCATGGTGTAGGTATTAAGGTGCAATAGACACAGGATGTCTCCACCACACTTGCATTTGCAAGGTTTATCTCACAGGTTCCTTGTCAACCAGCTACTGAAGGTGTGAACCTGGAAATCTTTTTATTACAGTCTCTAATAGTGTTCCATATGGACTGAAATGTGTGTACATGGGAGATTTATTCTATACTGTTTGTGCAAGTGTCTTTCCTCTATGGGCCCTATGTCCTTAGGGTTTCAGTTACTTCTCAGAAAGATGCCTTCCCCTCCTGCCCCAGAAATCCCAAGTCAAAATTTCAAGACAGACTCCTTAAGAGATTTTCCTAACAATTAAGGGAGAGAGAGGTGATGTTTTAAAATGTACAGTACTAGTCCTTGACTGTAAGCAGAAATGGAAGTATCAATATATACAGCTATGATATTTCTTTCAGAAAACAGCTGGGTTATAGTGAATGTATATGAAGCAATGTGAACAAAGGAAGTAAAAGGTTCTTTTGTGTGTGCATGTGTTTATGGGCCTCAAAGAAAGAGGCAGCCAGAAGGACATAATAAACGATCCACAGTAAGTCCTGTGGATGTTTATGGTTTGTATGAATTTCATGGTGGCATTGCCTGTGTGGGGGTCAGTTTCAGATTGACACTCTTATTCCTACAAATGAGAATATACCATCTAGCAACTGTCTATATCTTTTGCAAAACCATTCATTTCCTGTCTGTTTCCTAGTAACTGTAACAATCACAAGCTTTAAAAATAGCTTGCCCTATATATTATAGCAGACAGTGCCCAATCTGTGTTTTGGGCCTGGTGCCCTTACAGACAAGACTTCAACACACTGCATTTTAATTTCTTCAAGAGAATTAGATCTTAAAAACGAATTATGCTGCCCTAATTTATGTCTAAATGCTGAGCATGAATGTATCACTAATGTGTAATGCTAGGCAAACACAGGCATAGAAAACAGACTATCCACAGGAAGCAGACTCATCTTTAGAGCTGGACAGTAACTATTCCTGTTCAGCAACTTGGCTTAACACCTGCTCTGACAGTCTGGCATGGGGCTGCCACTGCCACTGTGCTCCAGCTAGGCTTGTGTAACTTAGGAGTCTGCCTGACATCCAGAGGTCTCAACTGAATGGCATTTCCTATCCCATTTGTCTAGGCTCAAAATATTGCTGGAGGCTTGGAATTCTATCCCCTCAACCCCACTGCTACCATCCCCTCTTCTCGCATTTCAATGGTCATTCCCATATTTCAGGCACTGCATCATCTCCCTCCTGAACCCATGCTTGCCCCCACCCCCTTTTTTTGTTCCCTAGCCTGTGCTTGCTAGAGAACCATTCAAGCAGAATTTCCAAGAACAGGATGCATGTAGTGTTTCCTTGCTCAGAAATCTTCAGTTGTGCTGACTATCCCATCGGCTGACTCACCTATACTTTACCACATTCCACACCTAGACCACTGCCCAGAGACCTAAACTGCTTGCTTGCCATTCAAAACTAACACATACTTCTTTATTTCTACAGTTTTCCTTTACATGCCCTTTCCTTCACACTGAACGACTACTCCAGTTGGTTGAACCTGATTACCTATAGCTTGCTTCTGAACAGCTCTTCCTTCACTGAAGATGTCCCACTCTCATTTCCAGACCCGTGGATTCTCTCGACTCTGCAGCTCCAGCTCTGAGAGTTACCCCCAAATTTTCCTGACCAAGTACAAAGTTAAATCCCCTGCCTCTTCTGAGGTTTACTCTGACTTATGTGATAATGTTATCAATTTATTCAACAGCTGGCATGTTGTTTCAGTTCCATCTAATATCCTTTTTGTTAGACCACAGTCTAGCAGGCTGTTAAGCAAGTCCATGACTGATTCATGTTTTTATTATCTAAAGAGGCTAAAAAAAAAAAATGGGAAAACTATTTGTTGACTATTTAAAATCTACCCTAAACTGCATAGATTATCTTACTTAATTCTCCTAACAGTCTCCTAAAACAAGTATCCTAGTTTATACAGAGGAAAGCAAGTCACCTTGTCCAAATTCACACAGCTTAGTAAAAAGCAGGTTAGCACACACATAGGCCTATATTTTATGATAGTTTTCTATTAATATGATCATATGTATAGCACTTGGTACTGAGTATATACCACTTATATTTGAAGTCAGAAAAAAATCCACTGTATAAAAGAAGCAGTCGTCTTCCATTTCCTAACAGTCAACTTTATACAATACACCAAATACAAACTAAATTCTTTAAGCATGCCCAAGCTGAACCAAAAAGGATGTTTGCTCAGTCAAAAAGAGATCCTATCACTTTGTATTTACAGTTTGCTGCACTGAAGAGAGGCAACAATAACAGTGTAATTCAGCAGAAAAGGTGATCTTTTGTTTTTAAAATCATAGTTTGTTAAATCAATCAATGTACCCTACCCATCCACTCATGCACCCAAAACACTTACAAGAAATCTTAAAACCTGGGAGAGAAGAGGAACTGGCTAGGAAAGGAAAAAGAGGGCTTATGTGGCCTGAGAGTTGTTATTTAATTGATGAGAGCTGATCTTTAAACATTTTAATAGAGTTCTTCACCAAAGCATCATCCAGCAAAGCCACACTACAACACTATACTCCAAACTGAAGTCTCCGGCAACTCTGCACCGCATCTCAAGCACACCAGCTGTACCTTAGGAGTGTCGACACACTCTTCCTCCATAAAGGCAGCTTCTGCTTGACAGCTGGATGCTGGAAATGAAAAGGCCTCCACAGTGGATGCCTGTGGGAGGAGGGTAGATCGCATCAGTCTCACGTTCGGTGAATGCAAGGTCACTGGGAGTCCCACAGTTTGTGCCTGAAAATATGGCAAGAACAGACAGTGTGGGAACATTGTTACTTGCTCTATACACATACACACTTCTCTTACAACTAGTAAGTCTTCTTAAGGCGACTAAAAGATAAAGTATTACCCACTGAAACTCCAGAAGACTCGGTTGTGAGTGTGTATGTATGTGTGCATGCACATGAATGGTAAGCACTAATTTAAGTCTCAATAATCAGACATTCTGAAATAAACTGTACAGAATTTTGTTCCTATCTCATAACGAGAGATACACCTTTCACAAGGCAACAATCTAGATAGCCTTTGTAAGGAATCAAAGAATTATCTTTGTCTCAATTCAACAAAGTTCTATTTTTTCTTTCTTTAAATACACCAACTGAAAGATTAAAAAAAAGAAAAATAAATTGCTCAGAGTATAGGAACTCAACAATGAGCCTGAGCCAGATATACATAAGCCCCACAGCTAGCTATAAAGAAGGCACATGAAGTAACTGGTTTTTTTTCCCTATTTCTTCTCCCCATGAGAAGAAGGAGAGAGAGGCGGCTACTCAGGTGACAGGAAAATCCCCTTTGAGAAGATGCAGTCTGAACACAGCCTGCTAGAGCAATAGAAGAAACACTCATTGCTACAGATTCCTGTTCCTGAAACCAGCCTGCTGCACAGAGCTCTGGGTCTAGTCTGTCTTTTCTCTCTTATCAACTTGGGCTACTGCATCTACCTCTTACGTTCTGAGGTATAGGGTGCCACCACCACCCTTGGCTTCCTGTGGGCAGTTCATCCATTCTTCTGTCTCCTTTGTTAAATGTTTTAAATAAACCAGGATCATACTCTTCTTTAAAAAATCATTTAAAAGAGCCTTTCCTTTTCACGATTGGCCATGATTGATTTTACTGCTGAAGCTCCTGGATGGTCCTATCCACAGCCCTTAAGAACTGACAGAATCATTTCTCAGATATATCTTGAACATAACAGACACTGAAACATCCAAGGGGACAGTTGTCACTGCAGACGATAACAGGAATAGGAACACCCTCTGTTTGCCCTGCTACAGTTACAAGGGATATATAGGATGGTGACTTTTAAAATCAGACAAACGAAAGGGACAAAATTATGAAATTCTATTTCTTTTTCAAGGTGTGGGCTTGATTGGTGGTTCTGTCACTTATTAATTGTATGATGACTTTAATCAGGCAATCTTTCTCTGAACCTTTTCTATATCTATAAAAATAGGTGTAATACCCACTTCATAGTGAAGTTAAGACCGAAAGGTAACATGTGAAGCCCTCAGCTTAGCAATGTTAATTCTCTCTTTCCCTTCCAGTCTTAAAATGACCCCAAAGACAAATCAACTGGACAGGAAGATGGATGCACTTTTGGTCTCAGTCAGTGTCTCATTGTGTCCAGTTGGAATTTTAAGCTGATTTTTGTTGTTGTTTGTTCTTTCGTTCTCTCTCTCTCTCTCTCTCTCTCTCTCTCTCTCTCTCTCTGTATGTTTCTGAGATAGAGTCTCTCCACGTAGCCCTGGAATTTGCTAAGGAGACCAGGCCAGCCTGGAACTGATAGAGATCCAGTAGCTTTTGTCTCCAAATGCTGGGATTAAATATGTACACTATGTTCAGCTAAATTGGTAATTTTTAAGTAGGAAGGAGTATGTATGGTCTTACTGTACATTTCAAACGTTTGAATATTTAAGTATTTAATTGAATTTTAAGTATTAAAGTATATACTTAAATATACTTTATATAGGATATATTCTGATATTAGTATCATCATATATAGTGCATGAAAAAAAGAACAAAACAACAGTAGTGAGTGTATGGAAAACACTGCAAACAATGCTACAGACCATCTGAGCACGATAACGGAGCAGCTTTTCTTCCATCCTTCTTTGGGCTTATGTCTTGGGTACCTTTTCCTCTTTCAAGAATTAGTCAATTTAATCTCTTGGCTACCACGAGATACTTTCATTTCCTAATAAAGTACATTTAGTACATTCCTACTTCATCACCAGTTTTTCAATCAAAGGGTGAATTGAAAGGTGTGATTTCTAGTTTTCCAGTTTCTTACCTGTTCCTTCCACCTGAGAGTGGGGGAAGCCTTACCTGAAAATACTGCACTGGAAATGAGATGCCCACATCTGATCACAAGGTCCTGTCTCCCTAGAATTCTGTTTCTTTATGGTGGACTGAGTTGTATCAGATTAAGCACATCACATTTTCCTTGACAATTTTTTCTTTTATTGGAGACAAAGTCTTATTCTGGAGTTCCAGCTGGCATTGGCCCTTGAATCCTCCTGCCTCAGGCTCCACTGTGCTAGGATTACAGGCACACACCAGCACAGTCTCCTCTCCATAGAGTAGGATTACAGGCACACCATCACAGTCTCCTCTCCATAGAGTAGGATTACAGGCACACCATCACAGTCTCCTCTCCATAGTGCTAGGATTACAGGCACACACCACTTGTGGACTGTTTAAGAAGAATAAACTTAGCTGAGGAAGTATGTTACTGCACTAGGGGCATCCTGCTTCCTATCTTTTTGTCTGGCCACACTTGTATGTAAGCTTCACTAGAGCTCACTATCATCAACACAGCTTAGGAGTTCTTTTTCCTTTCCCAACCTATTTAAAGGCAGTGTTATCAATTCTAAAAGTTCTCAAGTGCTCAGAAATACTCTGATCCAAATATCTGGAGCTATACTGGTATACTATTACCTCACATTTTTATTGATACATTATTTTATTTATAAGATATAATCTGTTAGATAATCAAGAATTTTCATTCCCTTATTTTTTCATCTTCTATTGAATAAATGCAAAATTTTATATTCCTGTACGTTTATGATTCTGTTCAACAGTGAGTGCTACTTACAGATGCTGGCTGGCATTTAATGTGCAGACACCACTCCATTCCCAGCCTCTACACATGAGTCCTAGATCTCTCTGACCACATTGCTTTCCTAGCACTGAGTCACGTCCTCACTGTGCCCTCAGGCCTTCAAGGACAATGCCACTTTATCTCTGTTGTGGAACAGATACTCGGCATTTGCTTCACAGATGGTAGCTTATCTCCTAACTGTACTCAGTGTCATTCCCATTTTAGAACAGGTAAAGTGAGGCACAGAATCTGGGACTCGCTTTAACCACTAAGGGGAGCTGAACTCACTCAGGTCCACCTTTCTTAGCCCTCCCTCCCTTTCTACTAGCACCACATTAAGTCTTCAGCATCCCGCATCTTGATTAGCATAAGAATCTCAGAAGTATTCTTCAAAAGTTCCTGATCTTCCCAGACTGAGCATGGTAGCACATGTCTTTAATCCTAGTACTTGGAAAGCACAGGCAAGTGGATGTCTGTAAGTTCGAGATCAGCCTGGTCTATATAACAAATTCCAGGTCAGCCAGTGAGATTCTATCTTAGACAGCCATCTCCTGCAGCGCTTCCCTAAGAAGCCATCCTTTCCAATGCTCCCATACTAATTGGCTTATGGTCTTCATAAGATCGTTATTGCTTCCTCATTTATAAGTCATCCTTGGCATTTGGAGCTCTTCACAATATGGTTTCCACTTACCACTTCAAATTTTTATTTTCTTAGCCTTCAGTTCCAATGGACTAAATTCCCAAGAACAAAGCCTACAGTGGGCCATGTGAGCACTTCTGTTCATCCTGTGTGTATCTCCTTCTAGTCAGAATGGTGTCCTTATCACAGTCTCACACCTCCGTGAAGATCTGTTTTAAATGTCATCTCTCCCAGGAAGCTCTCCCTATTCAGATGAGTCTCTCACTCTTGCCCAAGACCTCAGGTGATTCTGGCCTCATTTTGCTTCTACAGGACAGCTCTGAGAAACATGATGGTATTCCATACATTCAAACTCCTAGAGCACCTAGTAACAGCAGCTTGCACATGGTCAATCTGCAATCAAATTCTGTTAAACGAACTGAAAGTACAGGCTAGTTACATTATTTCTCAAGATTAACAAATGATTAAATGACAACATATCTCTTAAAGAAAATGACTGAAAATAAAGTTAATCCTTAGAAGCAAGAAGGTTTTGAGAATCTAGTGAATGACAGTGGTTGAAACTTTCTAGAAAAATACTTCAGAAGATTAGATAAAAAAAAAAAAAGATGAGATCCAAACCTTTTGTACCAAATGATGGAAAATGTGTCCGACATAAAAAGGCTCATGCACAGATGAGACTAATGACTCCATGGGTCGTTACCTTGGCAACTGTTTGTTCTGCAATGGTGCTAGGCCGGCGCTGGCGGCCATCAAGTCTCTGCTCCACGGGAAAACTGCTCCTATGTGATTTCAGACGTTCCACCAACAAGAAATAAATGGCAGCAAAGTGATTATAGCTCTTGTTTTGCAAAGACTGAAAGAGAAAACAGGTGTTGAAGGCATAGAACTATAAAAACCAACCAGGGGTCGTTACCTTCTTAAAAGGGAGGGTAAGATATGTGTCCTGAAAATAAAATCACAAAGCCTCCCCTTGCTCTCGTTTTCTAAGAAGTGAAGAACAGCCCTTGCCACTGAGCTATGATGTTTAGCTTAAGGGTATGTGTGAGTTCTCTCAGATTTACTCACATGAATTTCCACAATAATTTTAGCTTGAAATTTTAGATCTGTATTTTCCACTTAATTTTGGATATTAAGTTACTTTTAAAAAATCCAGTAGCAAAGTATACCTCACAACAAACCCCTTTCTAGACTTTAGACAGGAAGGCGTACATTCAGATCTTGCTCAATCAACGGTGACATCTTTAAGCAACTATCTGGTCCTATTTATTTGGGGATCCATTCATGTTCCTGCATTAGGAGAAAAATGCCATCACTCCCCCATGTACATATCCCATCTCCCAGCACTAGGTTTAAGATTAGTCAGCACCCTGTGCCCCAAAGTTCTAACTCTGTAACTTCAGGCAAAGATCCAATCACTGAAAACTCTGAAGTGAATGAACCAAGTTTTTTCAGAGCTTGCTGGTGATTATTCTGGGCTGGAGAATGACATCTGGATGCTAGATGGAGAGACACTGTGTCTACGTACTTAGGTAATATTTTCCTTGTTTTTGCAGTCCCGCCCTTTGGAAACCTTGAAAATAAATTTGCTTTCCAAATTTTTCACATCTCTGGCTTGCCAGCTATTCTGGGATGCCAATCCAACAGAGAAACTTCTCTTGGCTTCTAATCCCACATGACAATCCATGTGGGTGCTGTTTGAGGGCAACACAGACCCAGGAAACCCTCAGGGAAACAATACCCCACAGGCCTGAGGGACCCCACAGAAGCTACCATCCAGGATCTACTCCATGGATAAGCATGGGAAAACATCCCTGAGTGCACAACCTACAAAGTGAGACAGCGAGCTTGGTTTTGCTCATGGCCACAACAGGAGACAAGAAACAGTCTCCATAAAAGCACTGTTCTGCTTTAGGGGAGGGGGACTGTGGTGCAGGTCCTGTGTATGCTGTGTATGTTCTACAAGCATGCTAACTTGTAGAAGCCAAAAGGACATTTCCAGGTTCAAAGCTTTCTTCATTCTATAACCATTAATGTTTCTAAATCATAACTTCACTTGCTTCTGCCTGTTTATTTTCTCTGTTCTCCTAAACCCCACTGGCTTTCTTTAATGTAATGTTTCCCTTTTGGTTCTTGGTTCAACTCAGTCTTGTTCCATATATATATACATACACACATTTGTAATTCATATAAACTAGTTTAATACCAACATGGAACTTGATGTTTCACTTTAGAAAAACCTTGTATTCTTTGGAGACAGGATCTCACTATGTAACTCTGACTGTCCTTGAACTCACAGAGATCTGCCTGCCTCAGAGTGCTGGGATTAAAGGTATGCAGCATCACGCCCAGCCTCCTTTACATTCTATCTTTAAGCTTCAGACTTGGCCTTTTCCAAATCCTCTGAAAATTCTTTTCTTAGACTTTTTGGCAGAGAGAGTGAAGGAAAGGTTTAGAGATTCAATAACAGCAATTATAAACAGACTCGATGTAATCAGCTGGGTACCCTGAGCAGTACACCCAGGCACTGGGGATCGATGTGCTAAGACTCGGAAGACAGATATGAGCATAAAGCTTCAGGAGACAAATGCCAATGAACCTTCAAACATCTCTAGACACATCTCCATCACTTTACCTCAATAGTCTTCTGCTGATCAATTCCAAGGCTGTGCATCAATCGCAGAACCTGTTCATTAAATTCTCCAATAGATGGCTCATTTTCTTGTTCTTGTGGATAGAGAATAGGTCTCTGTACAGGAACTTCTATGAGCATCCACTTGTGCTCCTTGATTTGAGCTATGCTTAGCCGTTTGGAAGGATCTAGGACCAACATCCTTCTAATAAGGTGTTCACAATCTGTGGAAAACACAATGTTAAAAAGTTGCATAGATCACCTCCAGGCATACTCGCACGGCCCATGTGACTTTGCACAACAACGCTAATCTTCGTATCCTTCACTGGAAAGCAGGACAAATGAGCAAATGAATGCGTGTGGGGTAGACTGGTCAAGTTCAGATGCTAAACAAATACTGAAGAAACACACGTGAGTATAAGTCTCTATGTGCTATAAGAGCCTTCCGAGTGCATTTTATCTAGTCACACTAAGGAAAAACAATGCTAAGCTCAGAACAATGCTAATTCTCAGAACAAGGATTATGAACCGATCCTTGGTAGTATCAAGGCATGTTCAGTAAAGGCAGCCGGAAGAGCACCGTGTTTTTTCCAGTAAACTGCTGCTTTTCTCATCAGTGTTGCCAAGGACCATGTATGTAGCTCTGTTTCTCATTACATTATGTACACTGCAGCTATGAGTAACAGCAAGCTCTTCACCACCCTCCTCCAACTCAGACTCCTGCCACTCATATCTCTCACGCACTGTCCTACGTGCTTTGTGCAGAGTAGTTTCATCATCCTCGCGACACCTCTAGGGAAGGAATTACTGTCAACTCCACTTTACAGATGAGCCAAACTGTCTGGCCAGTGAGTAGTGAACTCAGAATTCCAACCAGGTAGTCTGTCGCCAGAGCCTATGTGGTCTTGCGTTCTTAAGAGCATTAAGTACGTCTACTGTTGCAGGAAGAGGAGATAAGGATGAAAACTATATCCACAACTAAGGAGTAAATCAAACTGTTGTCTCTTTGAGGGACCAAAACAAGACAGTTAGGGATTGTGGCATTTCAATTGAATTTACCAAAGTTCTACCTGTTGACTTTGAATTTAAAAACATTTAATTCTGCAGATATATTTCATATATAGAGTAAAATGGTTGTAAGTCTGTATCTATGGAGTCTAAAATAAACTGGGCCATTTATAGACCGAAGCTGAATGGCAAGACTTGCCACTCTTAATCTGGGTAGCTTCTGTTCTGTTACAAGGAGGAAGACTGGAATTTGTCTTGTCTACATAGAGGCTGATGAAGAGCTCCATGGCTTTTTAAATGACTAAGTCATTTTATCTGGTACCCAAACTCTCAGCAGGGAAACTAACTTTGGCTAGAACCTCATACAGCACGAATTCTGTAACACACGACTAATATGATGAACAGCTCGTTACCTTCTGACATGAAATATGGAATCCTGAATCTTCCTTCCAAAACCCTCTGCCTCAAAATAGGGAGAGTTGGTCCGTCAAAAGGCAGAGCTCCACAGACAAGGACATAAAGAACAACTCCCATGCTCTAGGGAAGAAAATGATGCAGTCGCTTTCAGAGAGAACATCAAACACTCATTTCCCACACAACACCACAGCTCTTAAAATCACATGGACTGATGGCTCCCTTCCTAAGTTCCCCTCTCACTTCCTGTGGTGAGAGTAAGCATAATAATACCCAATGATCTGAACTTGGTCATTTTGCTTGCCATATTACTTCAAGTCATTGCTGATATTAGTATGATAACACTTGTCTCTAGAAAGTCTTTCCTAGGGATCCACTTCCAGAAGCTCTGACTAATTACAGTCCACTGGATGGGGAGAATATAAAACCTTATTTATCTGTTGAGTACCAGGAGCTTCTAAAATAGGTCAGAGTAGCAATTATCATGATAGATATATTAACATGTCAAAGTAAAGCCATACCCATATGTCCAGCTGTGGCCCTTCATATTGCTGCCCTTCAAAGACCTCTGGGGCTGCATAAGGGGGGCTGCCACACCATGTTGCCAGTAGTTCACCAGTTTTAAAGAAATTTCCAAAACCGAAATCTATTGGGATGGAAATAAATGTTACTTTCATGTCTGCTCTCAAACTACACTGTATTTCTCAGTAATCAATTTTATAACTTGGGACCACTATGGTCATAATATATAAAGATGAGAGTGACATCTACCTTGTACTATTCCCCTAGTAACTACCACAATGATAAACTAACAATAAATGAACACCTGTCTCGAAAAACCAAAAGAGGTGAATGAGTAGAACCCAATTAAGTAATAACATATACCAGCTTTGAGTCAACTAAGAATTATAAGTACTGATTCTTTAAATGTTGATTCATACATCCTACTATAGGTAGATATACACCTGAATATCTCATTAACAAATGACAGCATATGGCCTAGTCACAAGTCACCCATCACCACTGACACTTATGTTCATTTCTGGATGCAGTGGTATTCATTATACGTCAAAACAATTGCTAATCTTAGTCACACTGAATTTTATTTTTCATACCCAGAATGTACTCTGCAAACACTGTACTCAAAGTCTTCAATATGCACATGTATACAAGTTTTCAGTGTACATTGTCATAGATGTGTGTTTGCCCTTTATTAAGACTTAAGAACGAATTCCTACTGTTGTACAAGTTAGGCCCATACTCTCTTGTGCTTTGAATCCTGAAACTGAGAGGATCTGGCTCTCCACTAGTACGTTCACAATACCGCATGCACAGGGAGTTTAAGCAAAGACTCAAAGAAGAGTGGATCCAGTCTCCACTGTCAGACAGACTGGCGTTGGGACCAGGGTCAGCACCTGTGAACCTTAGTTTTCCCACCTGCAAAGTTGCAATAATAAACATGCCCAGATGGCAGCTGTCTTGCGGGACCAATGTGCTAACATAAACTCCTGCTCTGTGCCTTGAGACAACACACATTAGTAACTTGGGGGAAATAGTCTCTCAACCTGCTGACCTAAGAACAGGTAGGCAGCAGGCACAGTAATGACTGTAACCATGTCATCTCTGCTTCATGGAAGAGAAAAATAACCACAAAATTAAGGAGAACTAGAACTGACTTACATTTGTCTCTTTGTAACTCTAGTGCTACAGGAAAGGTATTTTACTTCTCTGAAGCTTACGTTTCCAAATCTATGCCAGTGAGAATAATCAACCTGCTCAGATAAGATGCAGTGAGGATTAATGATTAACAATGTAAAATGCCCAGAACACAGATGTGAAATGTCAGTGCTGCTTCTGTGAGACCACTGTTACCACTACTGCCTTCAGGAGAAAGAGGTCACACAGAACTACACAGGAGAAGGAGAAAAGCCAGCAGGAGCATAAGGCCCAGGAGAGAAAAGATGGTGCATCTGGGAAAAAGCCTCAGCCCATGCCTGTGGGGCATATGAGGACATATGAGGTCAGGGGTGCCAACCACATACATCTTTACAATATAACACCACCGCAGAGATCTTTGTTTTCTTTATCTGAACTCAATGACTAGCTACTCCTGCCACTGGATCACACATGCATAGAGATGTTTCTAATCTTTTAGAAAAGCTACTCTAGAATGAGTTAAGAATTAGATACTCAGGTCTACTTTAAAGAGGAAAAGGTTAATTTCCTGTAGAAGAGATATAACCAAACTCTAGAATTGAAGACTGACTGCAGAGCCTGAAGTAGGCACAGGGATGAGTGTATTTTAAACCAAATGGCAAGATGAGTTCTTCAGTATATGTAAACTGAAGATACCCTCCAAGCAGCATGATAAAAGTTTCAATGTCTTAAAGAGTCAACGGAATTTCTGGACAACTCGGTGAAATGAACTCTATGGAGGGAGGACACAAGCCTGTTGGGAAGACAGCCTGGCATGTAGCCTTGAGGTCACTCGTAGGTATATTTCTTAGCAAGACAGCAAGAACTGAGGAGCAATCACTGAGGAGGATTGTAGGGTAGCCCTATCCAATCTAATTTGTACAGATCTAGGCAGAGAAAGCATCCTATTCCGTTACAAAAAGGTGGCACTAAATGGACACTTATGTATTCGATTCTGTAGAACAATCAGAGCCATACTGAATGGCAGCCAGACTCATTACACTGTCACAGAACCATAACCGCCCACATCCGAGAACCTTTACCAGAGCACTTTCAAAATTGTATTTGTGATAACCTGCGAAGTGTTTTAACAGTTAAGTAGAAAAAGTACTAATGCCACTGAAACATACTGTGTACTGAGCAAATGGCAGCAAGGGCCTCATGCATGCAAGGAAAGCTGCAGGTGCAGCCCAAGTCTTTACGCCTTTTAAAGGGGCTTTATCAAACATGTCACATGGTAATCTAAGCTCTGTGAGGAGTCTATACTAAAGCAATGCGGAAGATTGATTTCAGGAGAGAGTTAAGCACTTGTGAGAGATGATGTGGCTGGCTATGACACGGGAGACATGGACCAGAAAACCAGGTTTAACTACACCTTTACATCTTTCCATGACACAGTGATCGTAGCTATTTGTGACCAAGTTAATAACTGTCAGGTTAAAGAATTGGCAATGAAAAGCATTTTAAAAGGCCATTTATATTTCTTCATAGAAATTTGGATAATTTTCTTTATTCACAGCCTATAGCTTTCTGTAAATGGCATACAGTGAATGAGTAAGGGGTGAGCATGTAGATGAAATAGGAACATTCAAGATTTCTGATTAACATTTACTAAGACAGAATGGACTATACAACTGGCCTTCAGTATCTCTGGGGGACTGGTACCCACAGTGGGTACCAAAATCTAGATGTTCAGGTCCTTATATAAAATGGGGCAGTATTTGCATACAACTCCCACACATCCTCCTACATACTTTAAATCATCTCTGGATTATGTACGATACCTAATAATCTAAATAGTTGCTTAGGATATAATGACAAAACCAACAAAAACAAAAAACAAGTCTGCACAACTTTAGTAGAGATGCAACCTTCCTGGGCCTATCCACATAGTACCCATGAGCAGTATTTCCATCTGTGCTTGGTTAAATCCCAAGATGTGAAATGCACAGATACTTGTCTCTTCACTATACACATGAATGCTGTACGTGTGTTGTCAGCCACTGGACAAAGTCCAGAGCAAAGTCTCACAACTCAGAATAGTTACAGACCCCATCATCTCCAACTTTGGGCAAGGATCAGGGAAACAATCAGTTGGATACTCCTTTCTTTCATCTAGACTTAGATTTCAGGCCATGTTAGATCAGAAAATTAAACGGGAAAATGTTTCCTTTCTAGCATGGCCTCATTTCTACTTTTAAAATTTCATTTAAAAATATTTGCTTGTTTATCTATGTGTGGAGGCATATGCCTGCCATGGCACACATGTGGATGTCAGACGAAAACCTGTTGGGATCGGTTATTTGCTTCTACCATGTGGATTCCAGGGATTCAACTCAGATCATCAGGCTTGTCAGCAAACCCCATTGCCCATGGTGAGCCATCTTGCTGGTCCTAAATCTCACTTTTAAAATGCCAAATATAAAATAATATATATTTATGGAATATAAAGTGATATTCTGGTATGTTTGCATTGTTCAATGGTCAAATCTCACTAATTAAGTCTGCTACCTTATTAATTACAATTCCCTGTTACAAAGAGATGTTTATTTATCACACTACTGTATCATTCACTGTTGTAAATACCTGACTCTGAGCTACAATAGAATACTGCTGTTATTTATTCTGATATTCCAATTGTTCCAACCTGCTTCATTTAACTTTTTTTTTTTTTTAAAGTTAGTTTTAAGTACTCCTGTATCTTCGGACACCAGATTATCCAAGTTCATCTTGTATCTTCTTTGCCCAAACCCTTAACACCACAACTTCTCCAAGATACCATGGTTCTTTTTGTTGAGTAATAGACCTAGATTAGGTTCTAGATCTGGACATTGATATGCTAAGTATCATCAGTTACAACTGAGTAGAACTGCATTTAAATACAGGTCAGGTGTGCTTGTTTAAACTGTTCCATCAAAGCCCTAAGTATGCCACTAGGCAGAGTTTAATATAACTTAAAATCGGAGGTAAGACTGCCCAAAATCCAGATCAATTCTTACCACTAAACAGAGAAGGAGGATTTTAAATTCATTTCTGTGCCAGGTGATGCTGACCTATTGGGTCTTTTGTCAGCACCTTACCATGTGAATGAGAAGTTAGAATGTTTATAGAGCTCTATCTTAATTCACACTTACTTACATTCATTTTCAGAAGCTATATTCATTCTAAGAGTGCATGACGGAGCTGGGTGGTGGCAGCGGCAGTGCATGCTGGGTAGCACTGGCTGCACTTGGGAGGCAGAGACAGCCAGATCTCTATGAGTTCGAGGCCAATCTGGTCTACAGAGTGAGCTCCAGAACAGCCATGATTATACAGTCTGTGTCTAAAAACCAAAAAAGAGTGCATGATGGGCTATGCAGACATGATGGGCTATGACATACCCTGTCCTCGGTATGTCAAGATGATGCATGTTTTCCTCCCTGTGATACTAAGGCGTGTACTCTGTAGTTTTACTCTCACAATACAGCCACACTCACTCATCTGATTTATATATAGTTTCAGAATTTATAAAAGATAGGGTTTGGGCTAGAATCTTTAACCAGAGTTAAGTAACTAACATTCTTGGGATTCAAACCAGGCCTCTAAAGCCGAGTCACAGAACTATCGCTAATATAACCAGTTACAAGCCACAGGGATCACACATTCGAGCTAGTAGTGATTTCTGCCCTGTGTTCTGAAAGATAACTGACCTTTATCATCCTGATAACAAAAACCACCATTACTGTCATCATAAATAACACCAATTACCAATGCCTAAGCACCATTAGCAAAGGGCCAGTGTTTTGGGCACAAAAGAGCCAGATAAAGAGTAAATCAGCTGTTGTTGACTACTGCCTAATGGAAACACCAAGCACAGGAGAGATTTCTGTTGTCTGTTACAGCAGTATGCAGCTGGGAACTGCTACAGTGCAGATTCTGATTGAGCAGGGCCTGAGCTTCCGCCCCCGTGGC